CGACTTGTGCACGTGGCAGACCGAGGACCCTGCCGTCGTGGCGTTAGAGTCCAGTGACCCTCGGAGACGGTGGCGCGCCAGCTTCCCCGGCCTGGGGCTCTCTTTGTGGGCAGAAGTCAGGCATGGAGACAGCTGCCCTGCCCATCCCCCCTCGTAATGTCTCCTGACTGAGGTGGCGAGTTGTCCAAGGGCCGGAGTATGACCAGCCAGTGCTCAGGGCCGGCCTTTGGAAGTTCATCGGTCGGTTTGTTTTGGGACGGGGATTTTTAAAGCCCCTTGCTCGTTCCGCAGGCCCGGGAGGAGCTGAGGCCGGTGAAGGAGGACTTCGAAGCCAAAAACAAGCAGCTTCTGGAGGAGATGCCCAAGTTCTACAGCAGCCGCATCGACTACTTCGAGCCCAGCTTTGAATCGTTGATCCGAGCTCAGGTGAGACCCGGTCGTGAAACCTCCCCCTGCACTGGCCATTGGCGCATGTTCCTCTCGGGCTCTCTCGTGTTCTTGAGGTGAAGGGTTGGTCTCACCAGCACAAGGGTCCCTAAGACCCTCACTTGAACAGGTGTCGAGCCTGTTGCCTTCTCTGTCCGCCTGCTACATCTCACGTGGAGTTTGCAGTGACCCTGGAAGGATGAGGGGAAAGGACGCCCCGGTTGACCAGTATTGATTGGGAGCTTTGGGGTTCTCGGGGAAGCTCTAGACGGATGCAAGACGGGGAGGCTGCCCGACCTGGCCCCTGGCAGAGGATGGTTTCTGCTGGACGTGGATACGGTTCCGTAGTGGGTGGAAGAGGCTGACATAAACTTTGCGCCCTTTCTGCATCATCAAGTGTTGCCTGGATCTGGTGCTTCACTTTGGGGGGGGGGAGGGGCATGAGGAAAACAATCCCTGAGTGCAAAGCACCCAGGCCACGCAAAGGCCCCTGCGAATGTGGGCTCATTGATCCGAACACCTTGGCCTGCTGTGGCCAGGCGGGATAGGGGAAAGATCCATATTTCTTGTGGGATCCTCTTGTGGAGCGAGGGAACGCGAGAGGCGAGAAGTAGCTTCGGTTACCTCTGTGCAGAAGCTTTTCCCTGCGGAGCTGACCAGCCTGACTACCAGCTTGTGGGGCAGAGCAAAGATCTTTCCCTTCTGAGCAGGTGTAGAGGCTCGACCGCGGTTGATACAGCGCAGGGCGATGA